ATTACGACACCTGCCGGGCCGGGGCTAGTAATTTAGCATGCTAATTTAGGTTTATATCTCGGCAGCACTATAACTTGCCAGTTTTTTAATTACATCATTGCACTTATTTCTTCTCATTCTTTTGATGCGTGTAGCTCATTTTTTGGATATTTTTACCTCAATTATTACATATGCCACCTTTAACTTCAATTTTTAAGAAATGATTCTCTAATCGGACGGTTGCATATGATGTCGTGAATATATCCCTCGAATGCATACTGTAGTCCCTTTTGTATTGCTCTCTCAGATATTTCACTTTTTCGCAGAAAATTACTAATTATCTCATTGGGAATGTCTGATACCGGGTGCATCCACACTATAATGGGCTCTATGCACGGCGGTATTTCCGGTGAAGCATTAGGGATGCTCGATAACTTCCGCCGATCGTAGAGTCCAATGCAATACTGAGAATTTATATTGAATTTTATACTCCATGGTTATACTAATGAAACGTTAGTCACAAAAACAGATAAAACAGACACCCCTCGTTGTGTTTATGCTTCTTTTTAAAATTATATTAAATAAATATAACTATATATAAAATTACATCTAAACGTATGTACGTTTCATTTCAAAGACGGGAGGACAGTACATTTTGAAGACTCTGCCATAATCCCGTTTTCTCCGGTTTTCCTCCGCTTTAATCTACACAACCGGAAATGGACGAGCATCCTTGCGTCAAATGCGGAACTTATGCGTGCATATAGCCCATAGATGGGCCAGCCGCGAAAGCTTGACAGGCGTAGCAACAGTAACTAGGGAGGGCGGGGCTTAGCGAAGGGTCAATTTTCCATATTTGACTGTAATCTGATTTTTTTTTTATCAAACATGCATTGGGACTTAGGTCAGTAAGCAGACAGACTGGCTAAACCGACCGTCTACTATAGTCTCACGTCACTGAGATCAAACCTCTTTCACCTAGATATCACTATATAGAGACTGTGTCTGTTCCCCGAAATCCCCGAATTAGGAAATGCAAAAAACTCCCAAACGCAAATGATGTTCAAGAAATATAAAACAGGTGATTTGCTCTTATCATCCGATCATGGTTGTATGTATCAGTGTTACTTGATCTTAGCGCTGCATTTGACACCATTGAACACAATATTCTTTTAAATAGACTAGAAAACTATCTTGGCATTAGTGGAATTGCATTGGCATGGTTTAAATCATACTTATCTGATCGTTATCAGTTTGTAGAAGTAAATGAAGAGATGTCTTATCGCTCACAAGTTCAGTATGGCGTACCACAAGGCTCAGTACTAGGACCACTGCTGTTCACTCTATATGCTACCCTTAGGAGATATCAAGGAAACATGGTGTTAGTTTTCACTGTTATGCTGATGATACTCAGCTCTATATTTATTCACGCCCTGACGAAAATTACCAATTCACAAAATTAACGGAATGCATAGCTGACATAAAAATGGATGACTAGTAATTTCCTACTTTTTAATTCTGAAAAAAAAAAAACCAGAGATTATAATTCTTGGACAAAAAACCTCCTCACGTAAAAACCTTGAATACTGTCTAACACTTAATTGATGCTCTGTCAAGTCTTCGTCGTCGGTTAGGAACCTGGGTGTGCTCTTTGATACCAATCTTTCATTTCAAAGTCACGCGTCTAGTATCTTTAAAACCACATTTTTCCATCTTAAAAATACATCTAAATGGCGTCATATGCTCTAAATGACAAATGCGGAACAATTAGTTCATTTGTTCATGATACCAAAGCTAGATTATTGTAATGCTATTATGGGTGGGTGCCCTGTACGCTTAATAAACAAACTACAATAGGTCCAAAACGCAACACTGTCAACACTGCATTGGCAGGATCTGTAGGATCATTGTTTAACCCCAGGTTTACCGCCGAATCCAGACTGTATCCAGATCCGATGAAGGACCTGCGCCCGGACACGATGACAACGCAGACCTGAAGCGTCAACTAGTCTCCCCCCCTCCTTCATAGCATCATCAAGGTTCGCTTTGTTATTGGTTTGAAAATGCGATCTCTGGTGAAAAACAAAACTTTAACAAATCTTTAATACATTACCGGTCATCCCTGAATATGATTTCTGCCCGAGTCCCATCGTACTCTCCACCGGCTGTGGAGGTGAAGACAACAACTCCCATGATTCACCGAAATCAAGGCACCATCAAGCTAAGTTTTGAATAAACGACCTGTAGTGGTGAGAAAACTACATAGTGTGCCTTAAATATTTTTTTTTTTTTGCAGAAACCACAATAGTTTTCTTAGGATTCTTTGATGAATATAAAGTTGAAATACAAATCTTTTGTAACAACGTAAGAGTCGCATTACTTTTAAAAGTAACTTTCCCCAAAGCAGATTGTGCCATTGTAGGATATAAATGCACAATATGTGGTTATCCATTATTAATTCATTCTAAGAGTCAACATATCCAATAATAGGAGGATTAGTACAGTGATAAACAGAGTAGCTTTCGGCTGGTAATGCGATCTCAACATGACCGCGACCTGCTCTGTGTCAAATAAAATAGCATTTATAAGGCTACTGATGTGAGTGGTGTCAGTACATCAAAAGCCCTATTAATTAATTTACGAATAAAATGACTGAATGCACCTTTAAATCTATGTACTATATAAATATCTGACAGATTTTTATTTGTTGGGGATCAAAAGGCTGTCAGCAAAGCGCGTGGGTTAATGCGAAGCATGATCCCGCTGACATGTGTCGCAGCTCCAGGTGTTTCTTTAATTCGTGTTAGATGTATCAAACGTGAGGGGGTTTTTTTTCCAGGCATTCATGATTCAGATTCTGCAGTGGTCTGTAGTGCGTGAAATGCAGGAGTGCCCCCTGATGGGAGCCGGAGGTAGTGCTGCTGACACCTCTTCATTGTGTGGAGGTCTGACTGTGTGTGTGTGTGGGCTCAGCTATATGAATCATTCCCTCAGCCAGTGAGGGGGTGGTGTGTGTGTGTGTGTGTGTGTGTGTACTGACAGAGAAAGCAGATGTTCACTGCTTTTGGAAGACACACAAAGTACTCAGATAGAGAGAGAAAGATGGAGAAAGAGAGGGAGACGAATCAATGAAGATGTTATAAAAACAGTAGAGCCGCTTTTATGATGGATTTCCGTTAAGCCGCAGGTGAAAATGAGAAAGTGCACGACTGATACGGTCTCTTTACATCTCCACAGACTCATCGCAACCCTGAATGGGAGAAAAAACCCAAACGAAAAAAAGAGCGGAAAAAAGACAACCCTCATAGGGAATTCTGCCCGATTTTCATGACTTTGTTTAAGGTCATAAACAAGACAGTTATAAAATAATACAGGCTTATCTCTCACCTAATTGATATATGTTGGCACCTAAAGTGTAAATAGAGTAATAGCACCTAAAATGTACATATTAACACCTAAATGTACATAATAGCACCTAAAATGTTCATATTAGTGACTAAAATGTACATAATAGCAACTAAAATGTACACATTAGCACCTAAAATGTTCATATTAACACCTAAAATGTACATAATAGCAACTAAAATGTACATATTAGCAACTAAAATGTACATAATAGCAACTAAAATTTACACATTGGCACCTAAAATGTTCATATTAACACCTAAATGTACATAATAGCACCTAAAATGTTCATATTAGCAACTAAAATGTACATAATAGCAACTAAAATTTACATATTAGCACCTAAAATGTTCATATTAACACCTAAAATGTACATAATAGCAACTAAAATGTACATATTAGCAACTAAAATGTACATAATAGCAACTAAAATTTACACATTGGCACCTAAAATGTTCATATTAACACCTAAATGTACATAATAGCACCTAAAATGTTCATATTAGCAACTAAAATGTACATAATAGCAACTAAAATTTACACATTAGCACATAAAATGTTCATATTAACACCTAAATGTACATAATAGCACCTAAAATGTACATATTAGCAACTAAAATGTACATAATAGCAACTAAAATTTACACATTAGCACCTAAAATGTTCATATTAACACCTAAATGTACATAATAGCACCTAACATGTACATATTAGCAAACTAAAATGTACATAATAGCAACTAGAATTTGCACATTAGTACCTAAAATGTTCATATTAACACCTAAATGTACATAATAGCAACTAAAATGTACATATTAGCAAATAAATGTACATAATAGCAACTAAAATTTACACATTGGCACCTAAAATGTTCATATTAACACCTAAATGTACATAATAGCAACTAAAATGTACATATTAGCAAATAAATGTACATAATAGCAACTAAAATTTACACATTGGCACCTAAAATGTTCATATTAACACATAAATGTACATAATAGCACCTAAAATGTTCACATTAGCACCTAAAATGTTCATTTTAACACCTAAAATGTACATATTAGCAACTAAAATGTACATATTAGCAACTAAAATGTTCATAATAGCAACTAAAATTTACACATTGGCACCTAAAATGTTCATATTAACACCTTAATGTACATAATAGCACCTAAAATGTTCATATTAGCAACTAAAATGTACATAATAGCAACTAAAATTTACACATTAGCACCTAAAATGTTCATATTTACACCTAAAATGTACATAATAGCAACTAAAATGTACATATTAGCAACTAAAATGTACATAATAGCAACTAAAATTTACACATTAGCACCTAAAATGTTCATATTTACACCTAAAATGTACATAATAGCAACTAAAATGTACATATTAGCAACTAAAATGTACATAATAGCAACTAAAATTTACACATTGGCACCTAAAATGTTCATATTAACCCCTAAATGTACATAATAGCACCTAACATGTACATATTAGCAAACTAAAATGTACATAATAGCAACTAATATTTGCACATTAGTACCTAAAATGTTCATATTAACACCTAAATGTACATAATGGCACCTAAAATGTAGACATTAGCACCAAAAAATTTAAAAGTTTACCTTTTGAAAAGGTACAGCCCCAGTGACAGCTTTTGTACCTTTTTTTCATTTGTCGATCAGAAAGATGTGTTTTGCCTTCCTTCCTACAGGATTCGGCAAAAGTTTCATTTATCAGCTGGCTCCAATGGTCGCTAAGAAGCTAGGACGCAATGAAAACCCAGTTGTCATTGTGGTTTCTCCTTTGGTCGCACTCATGGAAGACCAAGTAAAAGAAGGAACCGAAATTGGCATCACGGCGATGCAACTCAAATGTCAGAGCCAGAGAGAGAGATGTCAAAGGCGAGAGATGTCAAAGCCATCGCTGCATCAAACAATGGTGACGCTTTGTTATACTACTCACACGTGGCACACCATACCCACATCATTTTATATTTAAATCATCATTAAATACATAATTAAAACATCATTTTGGCTCCCGGTCTCTTTTCTCTAAAGGCTCAAATGAACGCGCTTCTTCAGCCTGGTGTCTTTCATCGTCTCTCCATTTATTAAAATCAGTCAAGTCACGGTCCAAACCCTGTTAATAAAATTGAGACAGGTTGAGAAATGAGAGCAGATTTGTTGGCTTTATTGTCGAGATCTAATCCTAAACGGAGAACTTGTTCGTATATACATTCGTTAAAGGGTTAGTTCACCCAAAAATGAAAATTAAGTCATTAATTACTCACCCCCATGCTGTACCAACCCCGTAAGACCTTCGTTCGTCTTCGGAACACAAATGAAGATATTTTTGATTAAATTTGAGAGCTGTATAACTACCACATTGGCTCCTAAGGGACTGCCTCTTGACGGCCCAGAAAGTCAATGAAGAAAATTTTTAAATATTCCAAGTGACTACCGTGGCTCAACTATATGTTTATCAAGCGACGCGAATACTTTTTGTGCGAAAAAACAATCAAAAATAACGAGTTTATTCGACTATTTCTTTTCTTCCTTGTAGGCCAGAAACGAGATTTCCTTAGATTTCCACGACGCATGCGCGAGAACTGAACTGAAGTAGTGTAAGCAGATCGCAATTCTCACGCATGCATCGTGGAAATCTAAGGAAATCTCGTTTCTGGCCTACAAGGAAGAAAAGAAATAGTCGAATAAACTCGTTATTTTTGATTGTTTTTTCGCACAAAAAGTATTCGCGTCGCTTGATAAACATATAGTTGAGCCACGGTAGTCACTTGGAATATTTAAAAATTTTCTTCATTGACTTTCTGGGCCGTCAAGAGGCAGTCCCTTAGGAGCCAATGTGGTAGTTATACAGCTCTCAAATTTTTCAACTACATGTCAACTAACTGTGATTAGATTATTAGTAGACTGCCAGCTTCATATCTGCTAACACTTTTTTTTGTTGGTCCCCCAACAGACATTCAACTGACTATAAGAAGTACACAAGTATACAAGTAAACTTATTGTCCTAACCCAAAGCCTAACCCCTAACCATAACCTAACAGTCTACTGACAGTCTACTACAATATACTAATACTCTAATGAGAGTTACTTGACATGTAGTTGAAAAGTTACTTAGAATTAGTAGAACGTCTAAAGTGACTATCAAAATAAAGTGTAACCAATACTTTTTCCAGAGTGCGTGCAGTTCAGTTCTGTTGACAACTCGCTCAACATACATCACTTACTGTGTTGGTCTTATTGGTTGTAGGTCTATCCAATTGAGTTAGGTATTCCACCTTTAATTAAAAGAAATCTGATTAGCAAAGATCCGATTTTATAAAACATTTTCAAATGTTCAATAAATGAAATGATCCTGTCTCCAAACAGGTGATCTGCACCTCAGGCGTCATGAAGCGACACCATTAGGATGCTTAATAATGGCCATTTCTCTTTGTCCTCGGCTGATTTTCACTGTCTATCCTCTCCAATTAACTCCAAACCTCTGACTGCTGATCAGCAGGAGAAATCCACGCTGCCTTTTTATGTTCCAGGGCTTCCTCGAAAAACAATGTGGTGCACCCACATTACACAGACTCACCCGTAACGATGCACGTGCGCATGTCCTCTTCCTCACGGTTATCCTTCTTCATCAGAGAGCTGGATCCATCTCCTTCAAAGGGAAAGAGGGCAGCTATCAAATTGATGACGAATGTGCTGTTTGCAATGTATTATACATGCGGAAAGAGAGGAGTGGAAAATAGGCATAGGACACACTGTCCTTCATGAAAACACACACCTTTGTTTCAGTATTCCAGAAATCCCTCCGTGTACCTGCTAGTGAAATCAAATTAAGAGAGAACGGCAAGGCCCCTGTCAAAGCACAAAAAAGGTAATTAATTCCAGAGTTAAAGCTCAAACACAGTTTCAAAGCCCTCTGTCAATGTTACGCTCGCGGCCCACGATAATTGTCACCCGAGTCCATCACTAGCTTTACTCACATCTGCCAGTTCAGCATTTCAAAAGCACCTTACCAAAAGCAGAGACTCTGCTAACTTAAAAGGTGAAGACCTAATGAAATTACTGAAATAATGACTTTTCCCATCCGTTATTGTTCGTTTCGACAGATAGTCCCGCCCCAAACTCACTCTATTGGTTTAGTCAATGTTGCTCTGCAACATGATTGCTACATCTGAATACGTTTACTTCCATGCGGAAAAAATGGTACGCCTTAAAGAGTAGTATGTCCGATTCATTCAGTATTCGAAAAACAGGCGGAAATTATCCAGATGAGCTAATACCTCCGTCAAGATTCTGGAAAGCGGATTCGACGAATGTACTTTTTCGGAAAGTAAATGTCAAACCAAATGTAGTACCTCCGGCTCCAGCATGCAATTTCGAACGTAGCTTCTGATCTTCTAAATCACATGAACGGCTAACTCATAAACGTCTCTAAAACTTGGCAATGATAGCCATTGATATGTATATAAAAGCTAGATGTATTACGGCGGTGTTTCTATCGTCATCACCGGCGGCCATCTTGTCACAGACAAGCTGATGTAAGATTAGTGGTCAGCACGAACATAAATACTCTTATCTCGTTGAAATCTTGACGGATTTACAAACGGTTTGGTTTCTTACAAACGTTATTAACGTGGCTATAATTATCTAATTATACACTTTTTATTCATAAGTATGCAGTGTCGTAACTACATCCCTGACGTTTATAACAAACCAGACCGTTTGAAAATCGGTAGAAAATTGAGCAAGTTATGGTCATTTAAATGGTACATGTACCATTAACACAATGTTACGAGTGAGCGAGCTGCCTGTGACAAGATGGTCGCCAGGTGCAGACGTCGACCTCCATTGGCCAGCAGCGCGGACGACATATCTAGCCTTTATATCTATGATGATAGCACTATACTGTAGCATTGAGCAGTGGTAACATTAGCGAAATTTTAAAGGCAAAGCTGCCAATAGTGTGGCAACACATAGACGTGATTTTCAAAAAAAGTCACTTTCAACTTGAACATTCAACCAGTCACGAATTTTTTTCCAATTGCTTGTGAAAATTCGATGAACAACATGTTACCTCACCTTTATGATAAATGGTTATCATCTGCAGATAGTCTCTACCTGAACAATAACACATCTCGTTTAATGACGTAGAAGTCACACAAGCGCCCCCTTCAGTTTGGAGGTTGTACATGTGCAGCAGGACTATGCATTTACCAAATGGGGGACCGTGTTTTTTTATTGTCTTTTATTTTTTTTACATTTTTGGAAGCGCTTTGTTCTTTTGCGTTTGGTTATTTTATAAGGAAATTTGAAATGTTGATTAACCAAATCTAAAACCAACAGAGATATTGTTTAGCGCTATTTTTTTGGATGTTTTATATGTTGTTTTCGGGGGAAATACACATTGAATTTGTTTCGAGGAGGCGATGCACACCTGAAAACTTCTGGTAAAAAACACTCTGTAGTGTTGAAAAGTCTAATTTATTTTAGTACATCGGTTCAAACTTTGGATAAAAGTAGGCAATCTGCTAGTTAAATAAGTATACATTTATTTGAACTGGTTTAAAGAAATACGCTGAAACATCCTTGAATTATATTTCACAGCATTGTCAGCAAACAATCAATATTGTTATATCTGTGATAGCACAATGGGACGTCTGCACAAAGGATGGAGTCAAACCAACATGGGTTCTCTGAATATCACCAGTAACACAAGCCTCCAGTCCTCGAAATGTGAATAAACAGATTAGAAGTGAAGAAATATTGTCTCCGATAGGGTGTGTGTACAAAAACACAAACAAGTTTATCTCACTTTCCTTCTTCATAGCGTGTGCATCTACACTGTAATCTACATACAAAGTGATCTCCTTATTTAGCCTATACCTTCACTTTTTTTTCTGTGAAATACAGGAAACATGATTTGGCTCATTTTGAATTCAGTAGCAGGCATTTTACTTTAATTGCTTGTGAGTTTATTAATTACACTGTACTGGACTGTGTTTACAGGGCCATTTTGCATTTTCCATTTGTTTGTGATAAATCATTTATTGAAATGAAAGGGATTGATTGCATGCAACTGATTTTACACTCACCTAAGGATTATTAGGAACGCCTGTTCAATTTCTCTTTAATGCGATTATCTAATCAACCAATCACATGGCAGGTGCTTCAATGCATTTAGGGGTGTGGTCCTGGTCAAGACAATCTCCTGAACTCCAAACTGAATGTCAGAATGGGAAAGAAAGGTGATTTAAGCCATTTTGAGCGTGGCATGGTTGTTGGTGTCAGAGTATTTCACAATCTGCTCAGTTACTGGGATTTTCACGCACAACCATTTCTAGGGTTTACAAAGAATGGTGTGAAAAGGGAAAAACATCCAGTATGCGGCAGTCCTGTGGGCCAAAATGCCTTGTTGATGCGAGAGGTCAGAGGAGAATGGGCCGACTGATTCAAGCTGATAGAAGAGCAACTTTGACTGAAATAACCACTCGTTACAACCGAGGTATTCAGCAAAGCATTTGTGAAGCCACAACACACACAACCTTATGAGGCGGATCACTCATCTCCACTACAAATAGGAAAAAGAGGCTACCATTTGCAAGAGCTCACCAAAATTGGACAGTTGAAGACTGTAAAAATGTTGCCTGATCTGATGAGTCTCAATTTCTGTTGAGAGATTCAGATGGTAGAGTCAGAATTTGGCGTAAACAGAATGAGAACATGGATCCATCATGCCTTGTTACCACTGTGCAGGCTGGTGGTGTAATGGTGTGGGGGATGTTTTCTTGGCACACTTTAGGCCCCTTAGTGCCAATTGGGCATCGTTTAAATGCCACAGCCAACCTGAGCATTGTTTCTGACCATGTCCATCCCTTTATGGCCACCATGTACCCATCCTCTGATGGCTACTTCCAGCAGGATAATGCACCATGTCACAAAGCTCGAATCATTTCAAATTAGTTTCTTGAACATGACAATGAGTTGGCTGTACTAAAATGGCCCCCACAGTCACCAGATCTCAACCCAATAGAGCATCTTTGGGATGTGGTGGAACAGGAGCTTCGTGGCCTGGATGTGCATCCCACAAATCTCCATCAACTGCAAGATGCTATCCTATAAATATGGGCCAACATTTCTAAAGAATGCTTTCAGCACCTTGTTGAATCAATGCCACATAGAATTAAGGCAGTTCTGAAGGCGAAAGGGGGTCAAACACAGTATTAGTATGGTGTTCCTAATAATCCTTTAGGTGAGTGTATAATGTTATACAACTATCCACACTGCCGCCATGGGCTAGTCAGGCAAGCTTAAAATTAACCTTATTTTTTAGAGCGTAAGTTAACATCAGTGGTCTTTTCACGTGATAAGACACATAACCACTGTCAACGTGGGAATTAAGCTTATGATTCCGCATGACAAATGAAACAGAAATATTACTGGAGGCTCTTTAAAATATGATTCAAGCTTTATTGGAGAGTTCACATGAAGATGCAAACATTACGACTCCTGAAAATTACACTGTTTGAAAGATGTCGTATTATTATGAAAAAGGTTTATCAAAATATGCCATGCATGATGATCACAGCATCTTTAAATCCCAAAACATCTATGCTGACACTACAGCTTTGTGTGGTCAGCAGTTTTGCTGCCTGACTATATTGACCACTGGGGAATATGAACTACACTTTAGCATACCTTGTGATGAAGGTAATATAAAGTTAAATTTGGTGTTGTACACACCCAACTCAGAAACTCAGTTATCATTTTCACGTCCTGTGTCATGTTGTTTAAAGGAGCATTGCATAAGTTCTAAAATTTCGAGATTCACTAGCATGTTTACAGAGGTAAGAAAAGTTGCAGTACTATTAAAGGTTATTGACTGAATAGGGTCTGTTTTTATACCCAGCGCTGACCGGAGCTCCCTCCAAGAATCAAATGCCGCTCCGATGCCGACTCTTGTCTTTGCCCGACGCTGGTTACTCCCTATTTTGGACGCGCTAGATAAGGCTTTTTTTTTTTTTTTTAAATAACGAGGAGTTTCCGTGGGTGTCTGGATTGTACTGGAGGCTGGTCGCTTCTTTCCGTCCAGAGAATTGTAATAAGTGTACGATAGCATGCAAAGTAACGGTAAGTAATAAGTAGATGCAGTGCAACAGTGACATGTCGTTCATTCTCCATGTATTCATCTTCTCATATCAAATCAAATCACATACAAATGAACGCGTTCTCGCCACCTATTGGCGAACGTGTAAGCACGTTTATGTTAAGATGTTATGCACAACTAACATGAAACATTACATCAGCAAATCATCAGTCTGCTATAAATGCACGTCACCTGTCTCTATGACAGGAGAATGTATGACTGTCACTGAAGTGAACCCAGCTGGACAGTTCGCGCAGTTCGTCTGATTTGTCTACCTCATTAAGAGAATAGGAACAACCCTTTTAGACCATGCACCGGGTGCACCGACCATTTTTCCCATCGTTAAACTAGCAAAAGTGGATTCAGACACGCCCTAAGTGCACTAGCTTTAGAACATGCACTTAAATAGTTAAAATAGGACTCTTTATTGTTATTGAGATGGGTAGGTTTAGGGGTGGGGTTAGGGATCAGGGGGCGGAGATGGGTAGGTTTAGGGGTGGGGTTAGGGATCAGGGGCAGAGATGGGTAGGTTTAGGGGTGGGGTTAGGGATCAGGGACGGAGATGGGTAGGTTTAGGGGTGGGGTTAGGGATCAGGGGTGGAGATGGGTAGGTTTAGGGGTGGGGTTAGGGATCAGGTGCAGAGATGGGTAGGTTTAGGGGTGGGGTTAGGGATCAGGGGGCGGAGATGGGTAGGTTTAGGGATGGGGTTAGGGATCAGGGGGCGGAGATGGGTAGGTTTAGGGGTGGGGTTAGGGAACAGGGGCGGAGATGGGTAGGTTTAGGGGTGGGGGTTAGGGATCAGAGGGTGGAGATGGGTAGGTTTAGGGGTGGGGTTAGGGATCAGGGGCGGAGATGGGTAGGTTTAGGGGTGGGGTTAGGGATCAGAGGGACGGAGATGGGTAGGTTTAGGGGTGGGGTTAGGGATCAGGGGCGGAGATGGGTAGGTTTAGGGGTGGGGTTAGGGATCAGGGACGGAGATGGGTAGGTTTAGGGGTGGGGTTAGGGATCAGGGGGTGGAGATGGGTAGGTTTAGGGGTGGGGTTAGGGATCAGGTGCAGAGATGGGTAGGTTTAGGGGTGGGGTTAGGGATCAGGGGGCGGAGATGGGTAGGTTTAGGGGTGGGGTTAGGGATCAGGGGGCGGAGATGGGTAGGTTTAGGGGTGGGGTTAGGGAACAGGGGCGGAGATGGGTAGGTTTAGGGGTGGGGTTAGGGATCAGAGGGTGGAGATGGGTAGGTTTAGGGGTGGGATTAGGGATCAGGGGGCGGAGATGGGTATGTTTAGGGGTGGGTTAGGGATCAGGGGGTGGAGATGGGTAGGTTTAGGGGTGGGGTTGGGGATCAAAGCGGTGGAGATGGGTAGATTTAGGGGTGGGATTAGGGATCAGGGGGCGGAGATGGGTAGGTTTAGGGGTGGGTTAGGGATCAGGGGGTGGAGATGGGTAGGTTTAGGGGTGGGGTTGGGGATCAGGGTGGAGATGGGTAGATTTAGGGGTGGGATTAGGGATCAGGGGGCGGAGATGGGTATGTTTAGGGGTGGGTTAGGGATCAGGGGGTGGAGATGGGTAGGTTTAGGGGTGGGGTTAGGGATCAGGGGCGGAGATGGGTAGGTTTAGGGGTGGGGTTAGGGATCAGGGGCAGAGATGGGTAGGTTTAGGGGTGGGGTTAGGGATCAGGGGCGGAGATGGGTAGGTTTAGGGGTGGGGTTAGGGATCAGGGGCGGAGATGGGTAGGTTTAGGGGTGGGGTTAGGGATCAGGGGGTGGAGATGGGTAGGTTTAGGGGTGGGGTTAGGGATCAGGTGCAGAGATGGGTAGGTTTAGGGGTGGGGTTAGGGATCAGGGGTGGAGATGGGTAGGTTTAGGGGTGGGGTTAGGGATCAGGGGTGGAGATGGGTAGGTTTAGGGGTGGGGTTAGGGATCAGGGAGCAGCGATGGGTTTAGGGGTGGGGTTAGGGATCAGGGGTGGAGATGGGAAGGTTTAGGGGTGGGGTTAGGGATCAGGGGGCAGCGATGGGTTTAGGTTTAGGTAAGGTGGGAGGAGATGGATCTGGATCCAACTCCTCCCCCTGGATTTTGTGTTTTGAAGTGAGGACCATCTCTCTTTATCCCTTAAAACTCATCTTTGATCACCAAAATTACATCCCTATTATATCTTATCTTAACTAAAAATGAAAGCTTATCGAACTTGGATCTACAAGTAAAAAAACAGTATTAGTTTTAAGTTTATAGAATTTATTATGTTTGCTGAAAGCACAGACACACTTTAATTGTTAAGTTGATAGATTTTTCCCCCATAAGCGGAGTGATTTGGGATGCACACTCTAATATGCAAATTAGGATCTAGCCATAGCCCCAACAACACTGGGACGTGGAGTGCTTTATGATCTGTCCTGTTATTTTTGAGAGCAAAAGGCCCAAAGGGTTGTTAATTCATCATGGATTTTAAACGGGATATAAATGGATGAGGAATCGAGCCATTTACTTAAGAGCAATTGTCTAGAAATCATTAACTTCGGTTCAATTAATTTAAGCTCTTTATTCGTCTTCCTCAAATGCTCCACAGAGGGAAAGAAAATATTAAAACGGCGAGAGAAACCATTGGTTAAGCATAAAAGGCTTCATCACACAGATAATAAAAGAGTAGATTTAATTCTCGCTCTGTATATGCAAAACACCATATTCATTAAGCTGAAAAGTAAACTTAAAATCATCATCAGAACTTTTAAACTACACTGAGCACACAAGGGTTTCATGAAAAAATTAAGTTTCCATAAAACAATTTTTTTTTATATATATATTATTCCCAATGAAACCCAAGTTACAAGATTATATAATCTGTTTACAGGTTTCTGGAAATCTTGATGGGTTGTCGCCTGCTCTTATGTATTTGTTTATTAGTGTTTAAATCATGCTTACATTTTCATTATTGGTGTTCCAGTCGTGGAGTAAAGGTGGGGTGTAACACATCTGACATTTTAGGGAGCCCTTTCAGAGTCATAAAGGAGTCGGAGAGATGTATGAGAGAAGAGAGTGTGAAGCCAGAGCGTCAGTGGAATAAAGAAAAAAGGAAAGTGAATTAGATTAACCCTTTCTTTATCTCTTTCTTGACCTTTAAAAAAAGGTAACCACAGTTTCTGCTAAAATACCATTAACTTGTGGTTATTTGCCTCCAAATGCAATATTTCTGAAAGGCTATTTTCCTAGTTGAGGATTATCTTTTTTTTATGGTATTATGGCTTTCAAGTTATTTTTAGAGCCTTTACCATTTTTGTGTTGTGACCTTAGTGTCAAGAGAGTTAAAGGAGTAGTTCACTTTTGAAAAAAACTTTTGCTAGTAATTTACTCATCCCCATGTCATCCAAGATGTCCATGTCATTCTTTCTTCAGTCGAAAAGAAATTAAGGTTTTTGATGAAAACATTCCAGGATTTTTCTCCATATAATGGACTTCATTGGGAACCAAATGGTTCAAGGTCCAAAAGACACTTTCAGTACAAACTGCAAACTGTTTGGTTCGAACTCGTTCATCAAAATTGAACAAATTTTTTTTCCGAGTCAATTTGTTCGTTTCGTTCGTTGAATGAACCAAATGACTCGGAAAAAGATTTGTTCATTTTGATGAATGAGTTCGAACAGGAGAGTCACAAACGTGCATCACAGAACAGAGCAAGGCGAGCATTTGAGCTTATAAAACTTAAACTGTTATTTATTTATTAAATGAGCGATCGTTTCGCTTGACAAGACCCTTATTCATCGTCTGGAATCGTTTAAAGCCCTTTGAACAGTTTGCAGTTTGCACTGAAAGTGTCTTTTGGACCTTGAACCGTTCGGTTCCCATTGAAGTCCATTATATGGAGAAAAATCCTGGAATGTTTTCATCAAAAACCTTAATTTCTTTTCGACTTAAGAAAGAAAGACATGGACATCTTGGATGACATGGGGGTGAGTAAATTAACAGCAAACGTTTTTTTTTTTTTTAAAGTGGACTACTCCTTTAAGCACATATACCGTAATGTACATTTGTATGCACAATACATATATCTGCTTTCTTTTACATTACAGAAATTAGAATTTTTGTAAAAAACATGCTAGTCAAAATGCAAAAAAAAAGTATAAAAAATATAAATTTTTAGTAACTTTAGGCCCTCTAGTGGTTAAAAATTGAAACTAAAGAAGATTGTTTTGGTTGTTCTTCGCCTCTGCGTAACTATGCGGAAGAATATTGTTCTTTCTCAATCTAAAATCATATATACTGCTCATAAAACATTCACTACCAGACTTAAGAACCGGCATAAAGTTGGTTTGACGTTGGACGTTCGATATTCGCAAATTTAGGTTCATCTGGGTGTCAGCTATGCACACCTTTTATGTTTTTGATATTTAGTACAATTACCTGTTAAATCATATTTATCCTATTGCTTAATAAATATGTTTGGCGAGCTATAGATGCTCTGTTTTCATAGTTACCAAAAATAAAACATTCAGACACATTATTGTAGAATTTTGAGGCAATTTTGTGAGAATTTTGAGGCAAAATTTGCTTAATTGTCAAGAAAATAATCAAGCAATGCAAACACTTGATTTGAAAAAATTAGAAAAGATTCTAAAAATAGGCTTTATTTTGTATGCAAAATACATACTTTCTTATTTTGTATTTGTGTTTTGTGAGATTCACCCAAGTATTTTTTCTAAAATAAAGTATCCTATGTGCGCTATATTATTAAGAACAGCCTCAGTGAGAGTGGGAAAAAAGATTTATGAATGGATGGATGAACAAGCAAAAAACAAATGTAAGGAGTCTCTGGTGAGAAGTGGAGTGTGTTTTATAACGCAGGTGTGTAGAAGACTTCTCCACAGGCCAGTCGGCGCATGAGCTCTTTCCATAGGAGGTCTCTCTCCATCTGCACTCCTTTCATAAAGCCACGGTTCTCCTGTGCCCGGCGGGACAGATAGGGAATCACCTCGTTCACCGGACCATACGGAACGTACTTGTACACCGGGAATCCTGCCTGAGCTAGAGATATGAACAGACAAGAAAATAATACCAATATTTTTCAGGGGTTTGTTTTTGTGTTTTATTTTATATATCCCTTTCATTGCCACACATTTTCCCATACAACTGTACTTATGGTAACACTTATATTATATACTTAGCCTACATTAAAAGCACATATTAAATGCATACCAATCAATGATTTAATATAAATAAAATTTCTTATATATATATATATATATATATATATATATATATATATAGACAATACATATATAACTTAACATAACATATACAAATATTTTTTATGTATAATTAAGTGTATATAATATATACTTTAAACTTTGTATATACTTTTTTCTAAATTAATAGAAAAATGTATATATTCAAATTGATAATATATATATATAAAAACCCCTTAAATAAATAAAATAAATAAATAAATATATATTTATACATAATATATATATATATATATATATACACACACATACTCACGCATATATATATATATATATATTAAATGTGGGTTTATTTTGAAATAAAAGGAAAGATGAAGAAACAAGAAACAAGTACAACTATGAAGGAAAATATACTAAATTGCATAAATTATACTAAATTATTTGAATCCAGAATACTTTTATTTTTTAAATCAGTTTTTTTATCTTAAAAAAATAAGCGTTAACGGGAAAAAAAAAACAATACTTATTTTCATTTTGATGTTCGAAAATAACTAAACAAACAAAAACTATATAGACAAATAAAAAAAATGATGAAAACAAAAAAAAAATACTAAAACTTAAGCTAAAATAAAAATGAATAAAGAGAGATAAAAAAAACAGTTAATATATTACAAAAAAATATATAATATCTCAATTACAATAAAATAACACTGGTTTAAAATTAACGAGCATTATTGTAAAGTTTTGCTGTGATTTCACTCACGTGATCACAGAAGTGAATTTAGAAACTGTTTGTGTGCGTGTGTGGCTCACCTAACGGAAAGCTGATTTGGTCACACATTCCCAGGAGCTGGCCGAAGTACACCTTCTTATCTGTGGGTGGCAGACCCATTTCATTCATCCTGTTAGACCATAAACACACAGAGCGCCGTCACAGAAAGTGAAAAATGAGAGACGCCCCTTCGCCAAGGTCATTGAATACCGGATACATACCGGTGATTGCTCACTCAAAGTTTCACGCCGTCTTATCGCTTACAGCCATTACACGCAGGAACAAGACACATTCTGAGACACTTAGGCTGATTTTAAGTATGAATTGATGTAAGAGTGTGTACTTCCATACGAATCATGCCCTGGCGACACTCTTTGACATTGTGACAGAGAATGTTAACGACATCTGTCATCGGGACACCTTTGTCAAATGAGGTTACACCCCTAAGGAGTGATTACATAAAATTAATGATTGAACATTACATTATTAATTTACACAAATTAATTTACTCCCAGTGGGATCTAAATGCACTTGGTTATCCAGAGGAGATTCATATATCAAAGAACAGGACCCTGTGAGTTTTTCTCTGCTTAATATCTCTCAACTTTGTCACTTTATGATATATATCTAACACATATTAATATGCAGTCATTTAATTTTGTAACTTTTCTATGTATACATTTTATTGATGGACATCATCATTCAACGGTCTGGGGTTTAGTACGATTTTTGAATACTTTTATCCAGCAAAAATGCATTAAATTGATCAAAAGTGACATTAAAGATGGTTTCTATTTCTAATAATTTTTTTATTCATTAAAGAATCCAGAAACAAATGTATCATGGCTTCCACAAAAACTGTTTTCCACCACAAAATGAGTGGATATTTGAGTTGTGTTGGAAATGACATGTTCATGATGAGTCATACAGGATTTAATTGAAAGAGAGAAGGAAAAAAAGTGTCCTACCTTCTGAGTGTATGCTTGACGGTGTCTAGATTGTGTGATGCCACCATGACATTTGCTTTCTGATTCTGTTCGATCTCCTCCAGCACGTAATCCAGACACCTGAAAGACACCAGCTGCTCAAAAATCATCCTGCGCTTTCAGCCAACATTTTAACTTGACTGTTGACCGCCAAACACAAAATCTTTTGAAAAGATCTGATTTATTTTGAAAGCTGTCAGAATGTACCTTAATCATAAGAGGCTTACCTATGGTGAGATAAGCCAAGAGTTTAGATAAATCTCTCCTGCCTTTGAAACATTCTGTCAGCACATAGACCGTCTGAATGAAGCACAGTTCAGGGTAAGTATGATGTTCAGATAAGGACTTGTATTTTACAAGTATTTAAGGACTGTTGATCTGGACTTGGCCATGTCATCTCGCTCCTTAAAGGGTTAGTTCACCCAAAAATGAAAATTATGTCATTAAAGGGTACATATCATGCTTTTAAATCATTCATTTTTACTAATAAATCATACATTTGTGGTCTATATAAAGCATAACTGCAATGCTTGGGTCTGAATTCCTCATTTTTATAGCTCCACAGGCCCCTTTTCTGATGTGCGTCTGTGAGCGACCCGTTTCGAAGCGGCCCCTTTAAATAAAATGGAGTTGTGTCTTTCCCCGCCCGCTCTCCAGGAGTTCACACTCGGTTCAACTCCCCGCGTTCGGCCATTATTGTAGTTTGATTAGAGATATACGATTATATTAGGGGTGTAACGATTCACTCGTTTTCTCGATGCATCGATTATAAATCCTGGCGATGCATATGCATCGATCCTGAAACATGTATTTTGAATCGTGAATCGTTTATTTACGTGAATAATCAATTTAAAAGGCTAAAAATCGAATTAATCACGATTTTATAGCGCTTCAGTGGTTTCAAATATATAAACACAACCTTAAAGTGTTCCTGGTACAAGCTGCCTCACGCATTGGCCGTCATACGACATCCGCATTTGATTGGTTTCAGGCGCTCACACACCCCTGATTTCTCACGCTGAAGCCCGGTCGGTCAAATGCCTCGGTCAAACCGCGTATCGCGCGTTCACACACGGCTGCACGCACTCGGCAGAGAGGGAAAGCGAGCGAGAGACCACCTTGCGTGTACGGAGAGTCCATGTAATAAATGAATGAAAGCGTTTTATTTCATAGTGCCCACGCAATGGCATGGCAGCTTTATCAATGGCTTGAGCGGTTTGCCTCAAAACTATTGCTTTCTCGACAGAGAGCTCAGCTGGAGAGCTCAAACATGGACTGCTCAAAAATCTGTAGTTAACGTTATGAAAGCATGAGAGCTATGGGACCGAGCGCGAGCAAAATCCAGTGAAAAGATGATAACGAGTGCACTGAGAGCACGCAAAATGAAACTAATGAAAACGTCTCCATTAATTTGTGCATGTAGTCATTTAATGCAATACTTTAAAAGCCTTTTTCAAAATATTTGCTACTTGCAAATGCTAATTTGTAGGCCATTGAATTTTTTTTTTTATATAATAATATATTCATTAAAATTAAAAACAAACATGAACTAACATTAACAATGGACAAAATCCCCACTATCTGATCCCCGAAGGCCGCTGTAGGCTAATTCAAACCCAGACAAAGATGGGTGAAGCATTTAAATAATACTATAATGCATAAAAAAATTAAGAATCGAATCGAATTAATCGAATCGCATCGAATTTGGATGTGAATCGCATCGAATCGAATCGTTCTGAATTTGCACAAATCGTTCATGAATCGAAAACCTATGAATCGTGAATCGAATCGATTCGCTGTCTACCCAAAGATTCACAGCCCTAGATTATATACTATAGCTTCAAAGAAAATTTTTAGTCACTCGTCAATAAAATGTCAACAACGGAAGACTTGTCCATCAAGCCTTACATATTCGAGCCAGAGCGAGCGATTTGAAAAAGACGACGACGAACCTGCAGAACAACGTCTTCATATGGATGCAGGGGTATGTAACATTAAGCTAACTATGTTGTGTTATTAGTGAAAGTCGACTATTTGTCTTGTTAAAACAAGCACACTAACAAGATAAATGACTACGGTCCAATCTTACCACTAAAAATCTGTATTAATAATAATATGATAACTTACGTTTAGAAAAGCATCAGAAAACACAGCAGCTAAATGATTTTACCCCTCATTCAGACGAAGTCGATCGGCAAACCCTTCTTTATACTGGCGGAGGTTGTTGAAGTGGGAATCCTTGAAGTGCTTCAGGTCACTACATCCAAGAACCGAACATTTTGACTAGCCCTCTCGTAACTTCTGCTTCATTGAGCTTGGACTACAAAATCGGAGCGAGAAACAAAAATGGCGGATTGCTCGAAGTGTTGAGCCGGTAGTCAACGTCCCTATTTGTCCGTTCCGCTGCAAATACTGTGACGTGATGGTTCAAAAAAAAGCCATAGAGAACAGAAAAATCTGAACAGGTTGAAAAATATGACCAAAACAGAATATAAAGATATAAACGAAGCACCTGAAGAGAATAATTTCATCTTTTCTGTACTTGTAAACACTCCAAATATCCAACAAAATGCATTTAAGGGCTAAAAAAGTGGATTTTGCATGATATGTCCCCTTTAATGACTCACCCTCATGCCGTTCCAAGCCCGTTCATCTTTGGAACGCAGTTTAAGATATTTTAGATTTAATCCGAGATCTTTTTGTCCCTCCATTGAAAATGTATGTACGGTATACTGTCCTTGTCCAGAAAAGAAATAAAGACATAATCAAAGTAGTCCATGTGACATCAGTGGGTTAGTTACAATGTTTTGAAGCATCGAAAATACATTTTGGTCCAAAAATAACAAAAACTACGACTTTATTCAGCGTTGTATTGTCTTCCGGTTCTGTTGTGGATCCGCGTTCAGTGACGCTGCTGATGCGACTGAGCTTCGGTTACAGTCTGAGGCTGTAAACAAAACAATCTTCGCAAACATGTCTAAGGATTTCGACACAGAGGAAGACTTTTTTTGCCCAGCCATATTTATTTGAACCCGAATACACCAGAGACACGTCCAGTGTCACTGAACTCGGATTGGCAACAGAACCAGAAGACAATACAACGCTGAATAAAGTCGTAGTTTTTGTTATTTTTGGACCAAAAGGTATTTCCGATGCTTCAAAACATTGTAACTAACCCACTGATGTCACATGGACTACTTTGATGATGTCTGTATTTCCTTTCTGGACAAGGACAGTATACCGGACATACATTTTCAATGCAGGGACAGAAAGCTCTCGGACTAAATCTAAAATATCTGCGTCCCGAAGAAGAATGGAGGTCTTACGGGCTTTGGACGACATGAGGGTGAGTCATTAATGACATCATTTTCATTTTTGGGTGAACTAACCCTTTAAAGAGAGGCAAAGTGAATATGTGAATTTGGCCATAATTCTCTGTTCCTAGACAGCATTTTAGGCATTAAACCAGGGGGCCGGGGCTGTCAATAGCAGTGTTTCCCAACACTATTCCTGGAGGCACACCAACACTACACATTTTCCAACTCTTCCTAATCAGACACACCTGATTCAACTCATTAGCTTATTAGCAGAGAATCCAAGAACAGAAATATCAGTGCCAGTGGATGACAAGCCTGCAGCCTGTCGCCAAAAAAGCGTAACGGCTAACGCTAACGGCTGTGGCTGTGCGCAGGGAATCAGACGTTTTTGGCTTTTTGTTTTGTTTTTGGTCTTCACTACACTGAATAAACCGCTTTTGTGTGGAAATAGCTTATCATTTAATGAATCGACTGCCTGTCCACTCATCTTCACCATGTTTTATGCTACACAATACTTTTGTTGGGAACGACATGTACATTTTACTACGATAAAAATGTTATTTAATAAGAGAAGCAAGAGAAGGGAATGTTGTGACATTACTCATTTACGGCTTTAAAACAATCGAGATGACTGACATAATAAAATGATATAAATTCTCTTTCATTTGTCGTCTTCAACCATTTCCATTTCTATTGAAGAACCAGGGATCTCATAGTCTTAATAACCTTGAAGGCTTAAGACAGTCCCAGACTAAAATGTAGGGCAGGGTATTGAGACAAATTTCACAATTCGATTCGATTTCGATTCACAAGCTTGCAATTCGATTCGATTACGATTCGATATCCATATCGATTATTTTGGATATCAGTTCCAATAAATGGCAATTTTTCTCAAGGGAATCAAATCTCTTAAATGCTGTAAACTATGGGAGTCTAGGTGTACAGACTAATCTCTTGAAGTAGCGCGTGTATGACACGCCAATTTCGTATTTCCATTTTTGGCGTGCTATCAAGACGCATAATCGCCTTTCAGCGTGTTTATGAACGCTGTTGACTTAACGTTATATAAATATATGACTTACCTCAACCCCGTCCCTAAACCTAACCGTCACTGGGGTTAATGGCATTTATGACTGTTCCCTTACCATCCTAGGTAAAAAAAAGATACGACTTACCTCAACCCCATCCCTAAACCTAACCGTCACTGGGGTTAATGGCATTTATGACTGTTCCCTTACCATCCTAGGTAAAAAAAAAGATATGACTTACCTCAACCCCATCCCTAAACTTAACCGTCACTGGGGTTAATGGCAATTATGACTGGAGATTTGACGGCGTGTACAGACACGCGGAATGACGCGGACGTTAATGGCGTTGACATATACGCATACACGCGGATAGCACAAAATGCGTGGAGATAACACGCCACCTGACTCGAAAGTGGCGTATATATGTTTACGCAAAAGTCATGATGTCATGTTGAGTTGTAGCCTACTAGGCTTCATTAGCCTAATATGAAGGTAATAATTAACTGTTTTGTAGCTATACAAACACTTAAATTACACTTTTATTTATTTTTATAATAAGAAGATTATATAAAATATAAACATTTAAATGGTGGCTGTCATAAAAACTTGCCATATTTATTCAAATATGCATTAGATATTGAAGAACATTAAGATTATAATGCATATGTAATATGGTGTATATATTTAGCTAAATGCTCCTCTCTGGAGTTATTTTTTTTCTAGCTGACTAACGAGTTTATGTGGTTTTTCTGAGGTAAATATGACGATACATTGATTACAAGCTGTTTAATTGACGTCTTTCCACGGTTGAAACGCTGATTGAGCGAATCAATGTGACATGATACGGATTTCGATAAGTTGTACTCTATCTTTAACACACTTTCAGAGGCTCATTCATGTTTATTTCACGCTGTTCTGGTATTATTAACCCGGAAGAGAGATTGTCGATCTCGCCAGAGCGATCTCACGCCACAGCGCCAAAACGTTATTTATGTTTTTGAATTTCTAAAGAAAATGGACGTAATTTGAAAATTGAGACTTTGTTTCATATCAATAGTAACAAACGACAAAGATTATTGCGATTTTTTTTGGATGCGCGCAGTCGCGATACAATGTCCCATTCATTCAAATGAAACAGGATGACTAATCGATTCTTGAGATTTAAGAATCGATATCAGTTCGTAAAAATGAATCGATTAATATCGAGAAATCGATATTTATTACCCAGCCCTACTAAAATGCATGTTTGAGCTGTTTTAACTGAAAGCAACTTGTTGCTAATTGAAATGCCCTAATTGAACTTAAACTAATCCTGGTTTTATCTAAGCCCTGTCTGTGAATCCAGGCCATCCAGAGATCAAGTCTGTAGATCTCAAACAAATGTAATATTATAGTACAATTAAAAAATCAAGCATATAATATCATTCAAACTATCAAAAAACTAAGCGTATGACTAATCGCAGCTTATATTTGAAATTTGGCTTTAAAGGGTTAGTTCACCCAAAAATGAAAATTCTGTCAGTATTTACTCACCCTCATGTTGTTTCAACCCCGTAAGACCTTCGTTCATCTTCGGAACACAAATTAAGATATTTAAGATATTAAGATCACTCCTGCATACAGTCCATAGGCTTCTTGAGGTACTGGCTCTTGCTGTCCTCGAAAAGTCATTAAAGGCATCGTTAAAATAGTCCAAGTGACTACAGGGGCTCAATCTTAAGTTTATCAAACGACGAGAACACTTTTGTGCGCAAAAAAACAACAAAAATAACGACTTTATTTCAACTATCACGTCCTTCTCCATGAGCCTGTAAGTCAGTTAACGTAGTGTGATTGCGTAGAGCTACGTCACACGTAGGCTCACTATTGGCCGACGCTGGTCATGTGTGTGTGATGCGTGTGACGTACAATAACAGAAGCTTACGCTATTAAACTAGTAACCTGACTCGCACAGAGGAGAAATAAACGAATAGTTGAAATAAAGTCGTTATTTTTGTTGTTTTTTTGCGCACAAAAGTGTTCTCGTCGTTTGATAAACTTAAGATTGAGCCCCTGTAGTCACTTGGACTATTTTAACGATGTCTTTAATGACTTTTCGGGGACAGCAAGAGCCAGTCCCTCAAGAAGCCTATGGACTGTATGCAGGAGCGATCTTAATATCTTAAATATCTTAATTTGTGTTCCGAAGATGAACGAAGGTCTTACGGGGTTGGAACAACATGAGGGTGAGTAAATACTGACAGAATTTTCATTTTTGGGTGAACTAACCCTTTAATATGAGCTAGAGATGACCGAGATGTGGGCTGAAAGTTGGAGTCCATGGCCACCCTGTTCCAGCGGCCCTGCATCCCACTCTATAGGAATCAGCTGTGAGTGTTAGTTGAGTCTCTTGTGTGTTTTTTGTGAGTAACTCTATTTGTTTTCCATGGGTGAGTGACCGTTAATGGAGCTGCTGCCCAAGAAGGGCTTTTAGATGAGTCACTTAAGAGGGTCCATTTCATGCCGTAGAAAGTACAACAAGGCAGCCCACTAGTTTTCAGGAACAGACTTCAAATGTGCAATTCTCAAGGAAGAATTTGGACCATTTCTTGCCTGTGGTACATTCTGCTAGTGCAGTCATAGTCGGGGTTGATGGGGTCTTCGTATCCAATCTCCGCTGCTCGGCTTCTCTCCTGGTACATGTAAGCCCCCCTTACTAACTTGGCACCGAAACACCAGCCCTCCCTTCTCGATAGCTCAACGTCCATGGACACATTATCAAATGCCTCCTGAGCACAGAGAATTCATTATGTTAGAAGAACAGATGACCTTATTTTAAAGGCAACATTTCAGGAAATTAAAGAGATCGTTCACCCAAAAATTAAAAATCTAAAATTCCTTAAAATCCTCTCATGTCATTCCAGAACACAAATTAAGATATTCTTAATGAAATCTGAGAAATTTGTATCCCAACATTGAAATATTCACCCCCCCATGAGAGACATTTGGGGTGAGGGTAAGTAATTGATGACACAATTTTCATTTCTGGGTGAACAATCCTTTTATTCACTTCTGAATATAATATAACTTGTAAACGTGTTTAATTGTCACCATCACCAATTTTAAAGCAACGTTAGATTGCAAGCACAACAGTGTTAAATATCAGGTTTGATTTAGCTTTGTCTAAATGTTCTCCTGTTATAACAGCATGTTTTCTGCGCAGCATCCAGCCATCTCACTGTAGGTAAAGCCAAGAATATCATCATCTGATCCAAGTTAACACCCTTCATATGTGCCAGACGTGTGTGTGTGTGTGTGTGTGTGCAAGGCTCACTTTGAGGTAGCACTGATAGGTGTTGAAAACGACAGCTTTGTCTGTGTTGAAGATTCTCTTCATCTCCACAGTAAGTCTGCTGATGGCAGGCTGGAAATATGTCTGTTCGGCATCCACCATCAGCCTGACACCATTTTCCACCGCATGCTGTTCAGCACATGAGAAGCAGGCAGTGTAACCGTGAGGTAAAAACACATTCATCAGCTGACAAAAAAAGGAGATATTGCCACAGACAGTCAACAAATAATGATGTTATAAACCTCTGCGATAATAATGTTGATGATACAGTGGTGCTAAAAAGTTTACTGTTTGCATGTTTGCATGTCATTGCATTAGATAACAAAATAATAATCTAATTGGCATTTATTCTCTGGGCTTTTTCGGTCAAAAATGACCGAAAACTGTTACTGTTACCAACCAAATGGTATTATTTGATTGTAGTCATAATGCAAAACCTGATAGGCTATATATATATATATATATATATATATATATATATATATATATATAATAGAATATCTCTAAATAAAAAAAGAAAGGATAGAAAGGCCTTTTGATTCCTATTGTTGTTTTAGACATGATTTTTCTATGCATTTATATAAGAAGCTATAATGTTATTGTTTGATTGTACTCATAATGCAAAACCTGATGCTATCTAAAAAATAAAATAAAAAATAAAGTCTGTTAGAATATCTAAATATATATCTAAATGAAAAAATACATCCGATGTATTTATATATATATATATATATATATATATAAATATCCGAATAAAATAGAAATCATGTCTAAAACAACAATAGGAAACAAAAAGTCTTTCTATGCATTTATATAGAGGCAGTCTACAGGAGGTTAATGACATTTTTACACATTTATATATTTTTAAATCCACTGGTGGTCTTCTCACTTGGCTTTTTTTTTTTTTTGCCGGCAGTCTGCACTCTATTTTGATGTGAAATGTTGCATTTATTGAATAAATAAATAAATAAATAAAAAATATTAATTCTAATGGAAAAAAATAGCTCATAAAATTGATATAATTAATGCAAAGTATCATAAAAATCTTAAAATAATAAATTAAAATCTAAATAATAATAAAAAAATATTATTGAACAAGAATATATTTGATTGGTTTTCCTGGGAAAAAAAAAAAAAAAAGTTAAATTTTAAGGCTTCAGTCTTGTTTGACCGGGAGGAAGCTAAGCCCTAAACGAAGAAACTCAGAGGGTTAAAGAAAGATTGCAAATGCAAGCTTTGCAAACAAACAGTTCATATTCAAAGTAGTTTGGTAGATTTAAAAGCTAAAACATGTTCATAATTAATGTGATGTTCAAAAGTTTGGGACGGGTAAGATTTCTTAATGTTTTTAAAAGAAGTCTCTTATGCTCACCAAGGCTGCATTTATTGTATCAAAAAATACAGTAAATATTATGGCTTTCTATTTTAATGTATTTTCGAAACGTGATGCAAAGCTGAATTTTCAGCATCATTACTCCAGGCTTGAGTGTAACAAGATCCTCCAGAAATCATTATAATATGCGGATTTGTTGCTCAAGAAACATTATTTATTATTTATATACATCAAATTTATAAATGGTTGTGCTGCTTATTTTTTATTTTTATTTTTCTTGATAATATTTGTGTGGAAACTGCAATTTTTTCTTCAGGATTCTTATAGAATGTTCTAAAGAACAGCATTATGGCTTTGTAAATGTATTAAAACACTTTTGATACATTTGATTAACCAATGCTGAATTATAATTATGAATTATAAAATTATTATTATTGTTTTTTTTTACTGACGCCAAACTTTTGAACGGTAGTGTACATCTCCTGGTAAAGCCTACTGGGCGCCACAGCAAAATGAGTGCCCACTGCTCAGGGTGTGTGTGTGTCCATGGTTTGCAGTGATTGTTCACTAATCACTACTCCTAATACCTCTATACGTGTGCGCTAACGTGGATGGGTTAAATGCAGAGGACACATTCTGAGTATGGGTTACCATACTTTCACTTTCACTTAAATTTTGAAGAAAAAACAGTTTTATGAAATCTCAAAACTTTGTTTGATTTGGTACTTCCAGGCTAAAAATAAAGGAAGCACTGAGCCTACTGTGAGTCTCACAGCTTGTACTGCTTGTACCAGAGGGCTTTCACAGTGGCGACATAAACCCGATACATGTTCCTCACATCAAGTCGACGGGGCAGAACAACTCTCTAACCTCTACACTCTGCTGAAGCCTTTCTCAAAATCAATCTCTGTTATATTCTTCATCCATGACTTTCTGGTAGACCATGACCTTCTGACACTCCGCATGAATACCACAGGAGAAACATAAGAGGAACAACAGCCAATGAACGCACCTTAGCCAACACATCCAGTCGCTGAAGCATCCTTTTCATCTGCCCTTCCTCTTCCTCCGTGAACTTGGACAAAAGAGGCTCCAACTGACCAGTCTGTTCAAAATAAATAAAGAAAGAAAGATATTCAGAATTTGAACACCTATGGGTGCATTTTTAGTTTTTTATTTAAGTGAATCTTAGTAATAATACTAACTTTTTTCAGTCTCTTATTTGTTTTGTTTTTTTCCCCAGAACAGATGGTTTTTAATTATTGGATAGAAATATTTAAGGTAAAGAGCATATTTATTTAAATCAAAATATGTTTTTGATTTTTATTTCAGTTTACCTTTCCTTGTTTTTAAGTGTAAACACGGCTAGACAGACATCACGGCTTATGTGTTTTTGCAGGATCTCCCGCATGACATGGCATGGCATTCAAAAAACACAGAGCTAGTTAAAAGTTCAACTTTTAAAAAACGCGTCTCTATAACTTGAGTTTTTTTCCATTCTACTGGCCTGCATCTCGCAATTTTAACATAAAAACGTGTTCTGTGTGAACAAGCCCTAACATGCCAACTTTCAACTGGTCAACAAATGCCCAATTTTGGAGAGGAACAACCTGTCTGATTTTTGGAAACCTGTTTGGAAACAATATTTATTAGTGGTGCTTGCTAATTGTTATTGCTCATACTTTATCACTTAAATTTGTGTTTATTTTTTAGTAATTTTGTTAAGTGCTTTTAATTTTCAATATTTATATATATATATATATTATTCAAATATTAATTAAAATATTCATATTTTAATATTTAAAATGTATAATTATTATAAATAATACATATATTTAGGTTTAAATTATTTTTATTTCAGTTTTAGTTTATTTCCAGTAGTAGTTTTAGTGCTTCAACTTAAAAAAAAAATCTGTTAGTTGCCAAAACAGCATTTCTATTTTTAATTTAATGTATTTTTTTTCCAAATATTTGCATTTCATTTTATTTTAGAATTATTTTAATGAAAAAAAAAATGTTTATAGTTTTAGTTGATGCTTATAACACCGATATAAAATAACTCAAATTATTCATCAGCAACCACATAGAAAAGCACCAGTAATATTTTAAGTATTATTAAATAAGTATTATAACATAAGTATTATTTTTATGCTGAAAAATTCACCATAACATTATACAACAAATAAACGAAGACTATCTTCTGCTCTTGTTTCTCTTTCAGGCAAAATTCCTTACTATACATGTCTTCATACTCAAATTACCTAGGAAAAACTAAAAACTATGAAGGGGCTTTTGCAGTGTTTATAGAACCAATTACACCATGAGAAATCCATAACCCTCTTCATTTATGCTGTGGTTGAGGTATCGGTTTCTCGCTGTCTGCCTACCTGCAGGTTTGGGACAACTAGTAGATTGGATATCTTTGTTCTCTCGTCGATCAGACTGTTCCAGTCCAGCATGTCCACCATGCTTCGGGAAACAAATACAATATAGCATTTATATTTAAGCAGATGATGTTTTAGAACAAGCATCATTACAGAACTGGTCGATTCAGTGGAGCAAATTGCTCTTATATGAGGTACAAAGGGGTTTAGTTGACTCAATGGGGGCAAGCAGGGCAGTGTAATAGAGCCCCCGTAGAATAGTCAGTAGTAATAGGATTCACTTTATGTCAAAAAGATGATTGATTGACAGGTGACCCGCCCCTTCCCGCCCCTTCCCGCCCCTTTCCCACGCCCCTTTTGGCATAGGATGAAAGGGTTGAATCTAGAGCAAAGGAGATAAGAGGTGATAAAAAGTATCAAAATGAGATAAAACGTATCAAAAATGAGATAAAAAGTATCAAAAATGAGATAAAAAGAGAGCCATCTGTGTTAGCGAGATAAGATCAAAAGGCATCAAATGGATTTGACAGTTAGTTTTATGACCTATTGACCGCCTAGCCTTGATAATGTCCTTTTTTAACATTTGTTTTTATTTGTAAAGATAAGATTAAATGGATCAAATTGAATTTGACAGTTAGTTTTATGACCTGTTGACCGCCTAGCTTTGATAATGTCCTTTTTTATTATTTGTTTTTAATTGTAAAGATAAGATTAAAGGGATCAAATTGGATTTGACAGTTAGTTTTTTAACCTATTGACCCTTCTAGGTTTGATAATATCATTTTTAACATTTTGTTTTTAACTTTCAAGATCAAAAGGGATCAAATGGGGTTTGACAGTTAGTTTTATGACCTATTGACCTCTTCAAGTCTTGATCATGGCTTGTTTTAACTGTGGCTTTTGAAACAATGAGAGAAAGTGTCTGTTTGAGTGTTTTGAACGTCGCCGCATCCCCTCTCCTGAGCTGCAGCTGTGAAAGTGATAATAAAAAAGTGTCGAAGTTTATCTGTTCTGTAAAAATAATATAAATTAAAAAAGACTATCCACTGAACCAAGCATTTCATTTTAAATAAAAGATTGTTGAAACAAACTGCTTATGAAAAAACAATGCAAATGCCCCTCTCATTCATGGCTCATGGCTCAAAACATAAGTGAGCAGCGTGCATCTGAATGTGTCTTTTTTGTGTCTGTGTGTGTGTGGGGGTGTTACATGATACCCTCCGCATTCCTGAAGACACTGTGGAAGTGAGGACAATTTATATATATATATATATATATATATTATAATTACTTTCACTATACATGCTACCACTAGGCTCAATTTTTAGGAATCACACGGTGTCTTTTGATTTTAATGCAGACGACACTCAAATCTATCTATCTTTGAAACATAATGACAAGCAAGGCCTAGAAACTTTGCTTGCCTGCTTATCTGACGTACGGTGCTGCATGTCCTTGAATTTTCTGCACTTGAATGAGAGTAAGACTGAAGCAATTGTTTTTTGGCCCCTCTGTTGGAAAAGCAAACCCCGAATACTGACTACGATTATTTAGACTCTAAACGAGAGCACACATTACTTTTTTTACGATTTTATTATCTCTAAATTGGTTGCCAGTGTGTTATATAAATTTTGTTGCTAGTTGTAAGGCTTTGACTGGTCTTGCACCATCATACCTGTCAGATCTTTTAAATGTGAAAAAATTAACAAGATCGTTGCGATCCTCAGACAGCATTATACTGCCATATCCAAGATCGTGCGTTTTCAGCGGCCAGTCCTAGGATATGGAATAGTCTTCTTCCTTTATCTGTGAGGTCTGCATCGTCTGTACATGAATTTAAATCTAAGCTAAAGTCTAATGTTTTTACTCTTGCATTTCATTCATAACGTTGGTTTCTCTAAACCCTAACCTAGTGTTTTATAGTTTGTTATTAGTGCATTGTGTGTGGTTTGTTTTTTACTTCTCCATTTGTACAGCACAGTGGTCAGCTTCTGTTGTGCTTTATAAATAAATGAAATTAAAATAAATGAAATGATATATGTCACACTAAAGTTGAAAAAAATTATGTTCTATATAAATTAAATGGTTATAAAATTTAAATCTAGTCATTTATAAATATAATATTTAACACTAACTATAGTTGAAAAACACTGATCTTCAAAAGTATATAAATGAAATGGTTATAAATGTGCAATTATTAATTTACAAACATAATATTTCATACTATAACGTTGAAAAACATGCTGTTCTTTAAAAGTATATACATTAAATATAAAAATAAACTATATAAAATAATATTTCTCTCTCTCTTTCTCTCTCCCCCTCTCCCTCTTTCTCTCTCAAACACCCCGCGCATGGTAGACATGTTCTGTTTGGGTGTGTTCATTATGAGAGTCACTTTCACGAGGAGGTGTCTGCCTTACACAAAATCTTACAAGGGGTGTATCACATAATTGTCACACCTGTTTCGCTAAGAAAACATAAAATCTAAACATGTTTCTACATATGGTGGCTATATGACATTAGTCTAGATTTAAGAATTTATTTCAAAGAATAATCGTAAAAAGTTTAAATATGATCTTTTAAAAAATTGTTTAAATTAAATCTTTATAGTTTGAATACATTCGTATCTTCTATTTATCTTTTAGAAGATTACTCTAATGATTGACTGTAACGGCGACCTTAAGTATAATTTTTATTAATATAGCCATAACGATTTTTGTACTGTAACAGCATATTCGAGATGAACCTTCACACCCTCATAGAGACGGAGGAGTTACAGGACAGATGAGCGTCTGGGCCACAATTATGTCACAGCGTGTGCAATGCTAGTCTGCTTTTCAGAGCTTTATTTATTGTAAATTCATTTAAAAGCATACTCTTAAAAGCTTAGATCTTTTAAAATTAAAAAGATTGTTTAAATCAAATCTTTAAAGTTTTATTAAAATCGTATCTTACAAGACTTCTGTATGATATTAATGATTTGCATAAAATTTTACCCAAGTTATTATTTTGACTAAATATCGTTTGTTCAAAAATAAAATAAAAAATGTTATAAATCAAGATCTGTGCTTTGGTGTCGAAGAGTAAATATTTCAAAGAGTATTTTTGTCCATGTTGCATGAAATGAAAGTTTGTCACAATGTTTTTGTTTTAAAAGAAATCCTTGGACTGCTCTTATTTGCTCTTATGTAGATTAAGTTGCATCATTTAGAAAATCACCACACATTTTCAGAGACGCAATGTGCCTCTGTGGTCCATGACGCAGCAGAAGTAAAGTTGGTAATGAGCAAATATTTAATTTTACTCGTCTTAATTCAAAGCATGATCTTACTTTTTCCACGGTAGCTATGACCTATTGTATGTAGGTACGATATATCATTTTGACTTTTCTTGTATCCCCCAAACTATCCTTATTCATTGTGGAAGCACACAAGGGGAGAGCTGATGATACTATAGCAGAAAGTATGCCCCTTTGACCTCTTCGATTCAAACACATAGTGCTCTCTAGCGCCGCGTTTTTTGAAATGCGTGTTGCGACTACGGTGACCGTAGTGCCGAGAAGCTACGACATGTCATCCAATAGCACTTTTTGAGTTTAACTATACACATTCTACCGTTACGCCGCCTATATAATAAATTACACAACCTTGTAATTTAGACCGTAACATTGACTTACCTGTCGAGAAGAAAGCAGGACTTCAGCGTCTCTTTCAAAGACTTTCTCCTTCATTAGCTCTATCTACCTGGCAAAACCCATCCCGATATTTACCCTCATTTTGAATTTGCCAGTCACGTTTCCTTTTAGATTAAATTTTTAAGCTTTATCATAACTACGAGGATTGCATTATGAAGCACCGTGCAGTGCGGCCTTTCAAGCGCCTCTCACTGACCTCCTTGGTCGCTTCAGATGGTTTCAGTCAGCCGGTTCTGAATGAAAATGCGTTGCGGTGACTAGTGCTTTTTTTTTTTTTGTCCCTCTTCGTTATTATAGATTTTCAAGATGGACGACATGGAGGCCTCCATGGACTCACCCGTCAGATCATTGTCAGAGCTAATTTTACACCGACGAGATCATATTTATGAATAAAGACATTGATTTTAGCTATAAGAATACTTTTTAAAATATAATGTACCTTGAATTTCAGATGTGTAAAACTTTAAATTTTACAATTACATTTTTCAACCGAGTCAATCTACACGTGAGAGATCTTCAGAAGTCATAACTTCAGGGATCCAGAGAATATTTAATTACCCTTAAAACCAAAGATTAAGTTTAATGACACTAGTTTTTGCAATGTCACTTTTTAAATGAAAATCTTACTTTAATGTTTGAACAAAAAGTTCAAAAGTGCTTGTTCACATTTGCTGTGTTCTGCTACAAGGCCACAAACTGGTTCTTTTTGTTTTATAAATTGACTTTTCTAATTTCTACAAATATCAGCCTGATAAATATGGACTTAATACACAATGAAACAAGATAATCATGCTACGAAATACGTCTGACACAATGTTTTTAAGAAAAGTAGTGTTTTTAAAATTTAACTAAACCATGATAACAGATAACAGATCTTTTGACGGACCTACAGAAATGCATGTTGATTAGTAAGTTTCAGGCATAGTGCAACCATGCAATGATTGAGAAAGCTAATATTGGTGTAATATTTGTTCAGTCTCACCCTCACGCTGATCCAGGCATTAGCTTTTACTAAAAGGAAATATCATGGAAGTCGAAATATCAAACTTTGTTCAAAAATTGTTCTCTGACCCGAAAATAATCAGATAATGAAATGTTCAAAAACTACAATTAGATATTCTCCTGCTTAGTATGTGTGTAATTAGTTGGGCTTAAATCTTTGGATGTATTTTGTCACACCATAGCGATGCAAAGTACCACACTTTTGTAAATCCTGTGGACTAACTTTAAAACATATTCTTTATACAGCAATCACATGTGTCCAAAACAACCATGTAAGATTCAACAGACCAAATCACTAGGAAAAGCACTGTGTATAATAATTCATACACAAAAGTTAACAAATGATGGTTTTATTACTATTCAGACAGCTAGTAGATGATACTGT